GAGTACAACTCCCATAATGAAGGGAGACAAACATCACACCAATTTGTGCGAAAATAGAGATGGTGGCCCCAAAATTTGACAAAAGTTTCTTGTAGGGACTGACTCCTTGCAACCCAAAAATGAGAGTGCCGAAACTTGAGGATTCATTATCTTGGGGCAAGCAGAAAAAGCAGAATATGTCGAGCAAGGATACTCACATTTTTTCTGCTGAAATGTCCAACTCAAATAAGTTTTCCATTGATGGAAGTTTCTTGACTAAGTTTATCATTCCGAAGAGTGATAAGTTTGGTGAGATGTGTGATCATTCAAATCCAATTTTAGAAGCAGTTAATGAGTTGACACCTTTGGAATCTACAAAAGGCAACAAAGAAGCTTCCGAAGTGAAGCAAGCACTGAGTGCAAATCAGATAGCAGCGAAGTCGATGCTACTGTGCATGAAAGGATCACCTGATCAAGCAGACACACTCATGGTGAGAAAATCTAACTCATATTTGTTTTGATATTCATATATGCATATGTACATATGAATAGCTTTTTCCCGTTGAACCGAGTTAGAGAAAGGCTAATGTTTAGTTCTGGTTCAAGTAAGAAAGTTCAGCCAAAATTAATGGCTTTAAGATGACACCATAATACCATATCTTCTCTACACAATGTGATCAGAAGTCATGGAGAAAAACAGTCCATTTTCAAAGGGACTTCTTCCGACTTCCCCTCACTATTCAATACAACTAAGCCTACTTATCCCACCATAGCCTCGAACCATTCTCTGAATAGGCAACTCCTATCACTACATTAGTTAGCATTTGATATCCCATTCTCAATTCAGCATCAGATCTATCTCAGTATCCCGTACGCATGAGCTATGTATAGTTGCTCTTATTAATGCTTTGAAATTCTCAAAGTCAAGGAGTGCCTGTTTTTTTAACTGAGTAATATAAACTGAACAAGGTTTCTGATTTTTTTTAGAAAAGCTTGCTGCTTTGTTTTTATGAAAAGATGTTAAGAATGCGGTGGTTTTTAGAGATTGATTGTTCATGCTCTTTTAAAACATCAAATTTTTCTCCATCAGGAACAAGCAGAAGAAGTGAAAGCAAAGAAAGCCATTTGTCATAGTAAAGGTGATGAGTGCAAACGGTATCAAATTGATGGGAGCACTAGCTGGTATTTTGCATCTGTTGAATATATTTGTAAAGTTACACCTAAAAATCACTCTTTAAAATTCAGGATGCATGTGTACTTGCAAAAACCACACAATATACAATTAATTTTCTTTTTTGTTCCAACAACCTTGTTTTAGTGTATAGGTAAAGTTTATCAAACTTTGATTCTTTTTACAATAGGTATATTATGCATGAGCTATCCAGTCAAAAGAAGAAAATAGAGGATGATGCTGACCTGCATTTGGCTCACAAGATTATGCGCCAGAAACAGTATTATATATCTAGTCACACACATGAGATGATGGTCCCTTGAAAAAGATTAGGAAGAAAGATGGGGGGACCAATGGCAAATTAAGCGACTTACCTAATTTTGCAAATCGCATTGTGACCGAACAAGAGCGCTGTCAAGTATGCTTTGAGAATCCTAAAAGACCAAAGCATTTGGTTGTCTCCATTGCGAATTTCACTTACCTAACATTACCCCAGTGGTAGCCCATTGTCCTAGGTCATTGTTGCATTTTAACTCTGCAGGCCAGGTAAACAATTTTTTAACCTGTTTTATGCTTCTTTACACAATCTGGCATGTGTTATTGTTATATACTCCATACACAAACAGCTCTCTCTCTGATTTGGTTATTTAGAATAACGGCAAACTTAAATATATGAATGCTTTACTGATGGACGATGCATCAAGAAGTAAATAATGTTATGATGGTCTTGTACTTTTGTGCAGTTGTGTTTTGTTTGCATGTAGTAACTTGTAACTTTTCCAGTTGTTAGACATATTTTTTTATTAATTTTTATTTTTAAATTTGAACAGCATAAATCAGCTACACAATCTGTTGATAATGAAGTGTGGAAGGAAATTCGGAATTTCAAGAAATGCCTGATTATGATGTTCGCACAGCAAGGGAAGGATGTAATGTTCCTTGAAACTGTTATGGGGTTGGCACAACAAAGACATCATTGCTTAGTTGAGTGCGTTCCTGTACCATGAGATGTTGCAAAGCAGGCACCTCTCAATTTTAAAAAGGTATGACTCCTATCTTTTGCATTTGTTATCTTTTCTGGGGTCTTTTTGAATGAAGGGTTTCGGGGGATAGGCCTTGAAGTAGTTGTTAGTGCATGTGACTATATTATAAGGGATTCCAACTTGTCATGTTTCTGTGATATTTGTTGTATCTCTGGCTTGAATGTCATCCTGATAAGCCATTAATAAATGCGTTGCAGGCAATTGATGAAGTGGAAAGTGAATGGAGTCAACACAATGCAAAGAAACTAATAGATGCAATCATCAAAGGGTTACGAGGTTCAATTCCTAAGGATTTTCCTTACTTTCATGTTGAGTTTGGTCTAGACAAGGGATTTGCCCATGTCATCGATGGCGAAAAATATTTCAAAAGCAGCTTTGGTGTCAATGTGGTAAGGGGTATGCTGAACCTGCCTGCTGAAGACCTCCATCTCTGTCGGAATCAGGACACTATGGTGAGACAGAAACAAGCTGTTGCAAGCTTTGTTCAGGATTGGGAGCCTTTTAACTGGACTATCCAACTCCTGTAACTTGTAATTATATTTGATTTACACTTGGGGTTTTGTACCTTTCAGGCAAGACCCAATCTGGATTTTAAAAAGGTCTCAATTCCTGTTCTTTTACATGAATATCTTGTATAAAACAATTTCATATACCAACCGGTTAAGCACTAATGTGATTATTATTCTTAAGCGTTACTATGCTCTTCTACTTGTTTGGTACTTGGTAGGCTTATCCTATTTAGCCTTTTAACCATTAATTTAACCCAAAACGTCTAGCAGTCATATCCATTTTTGAAATGCCAACGACAATACAAGCAGGGCTTTCATGTTACAAACTATATACTTTGTATTAATCTTTTTTTATAGCCTTTGTCAACAGACTGCCCCTATCTCTAACCGTTCTATTTCCTTTTGTCGTTTATTTTCCTTCAATTGATAGTAGTACTATCTACCCTGTAGCGGGGTAGATAGTAGCAGGCTAGATGAAAACCAATCAGTTTACATTAATGTGTTATTTCACCACACTCGTTTTATGGTTCAAACTTCAGACTGTAAATGGTGCTAGTTCAAATTAGTTCTTACAAAGTAGTTCACTCTCTCAAAACTTATAATTTGGTTGGCTTATACCTGATCAATCTCACCTCTAGACATATTGTCAACTTGTAATCCATTTATACTTGCATTTTAAGGGTGGACGTGGTTTCCATTTGGGCCTGACATTTCTGCAGGGAGGACCATTTTTCCCGTTTTGGACAGCAACTTGATCCCAACCTTGTCCAGTTCTGGCACCCCAATAAAGTGCTTGGTTCTACAAAATTAGCCAATTCCCCTGTAATGTGTACATGATCAGTGATTCAGTAAATTCAGATTTTGGACTGTTTGAATGCCTTTATTCACTTCTGAAGAGTGTGATCTGTTGGAGAGCCGTTGGGATTTTTCGCAGCGTTCTTCGGCAAAGTATTCAATAATGGGTGTTCAGAATTGATTATTCGTTTTCGTCTTTTTAAAATGTTGAAGTAAAACCGAAATTTGTTGTTGTATGAGAAAGTAATTTTGATTGTAATATTTTATATAGATTTTGTCTGGTATTCTCTTTATTAATTAAGATATTATGAATTTTGACTGAAATTATAAGATTTAAAAGTTAAAACAATTGGAGTAGAGTAGTAGACAAGAAGTTTCATTTACAATGACATCATTCTGAGCATTACATGTTATTTTGAGATTTGATATTCAAGAAACAATATCCTCAAAAGTTGAATAAATCAGCTAAATTGAGTACAATAATCAATTTAGTATTATGCTTAGATTATAATGTTAATGAGAAATTTCATGTATTTACATAAATCTATTCCATAGTCGATTAAGAAAATGAAAGAAAAGACGTTTTAATGAGCGTCTTAATGGCAAAAACTACTATTTTCAGCTTAATAATTAAGTCAGTTTTTTGATTGAATGATTAAGTCAGGTTTTCAATCAAGCCACGAGTAAACACGACCTCATGGCTTAATGATTAAATCATGTTTCTCATTGAGTGCATATTGTTTGGTAGACATAAATCCGCACCTTCTATTTTTTGTATTATTTTAAAAGTTTTAAAGGCTTCTAATTGTATGCTTGACATGACAATTTTTAAAAGAGTTTTTTCAAAATAAAATTTCTTTTTTGAGAAGCTATAATGAGTAACATAAAAAAAATCTGTAGCTTTTAACATTCATTAGTCGCTTGTATATTAAACAAAACTAAATCAAACAGTCGACTTTTAGTTAAACAATTGTCACCTTATCTTTAATGATTCTTTCAACCTTATCTTTAAAGATTCTTTCTATCACTAAATACTACTACCTCCGTCCCCCTAATTTTGGGACAAGAGAAGGTGGCACAGTTATTAATAAAAGTGGCTTTATGTGGTTAATATTGAATTGATAAAGTAATAATAAAGTAAGAATGATTTAGAACCACACAAATGTTACCAAATAAGGTATGTGACAATCTTAGTGGGACGGACCGAAAAGGTAAAATGGGACAATCATAGCGGGACGGAGGGAGTATCAATTACTAAAATCTTTCAGTTAATTGTGATAAACATACTCTAAGTCTAGGCCTACATTTTCATTACACGATGGCTAAAATTCATGAACCGTTCTTGTTGTACACACTTTTATATCCACCTTATACTCACCATATTTATGAAGATTTTTTTGTCTGTGAATCCAATTTACAGACAAAATAATTTGCACAAACATATTTTGTTTGTGACCGGGATTCATACATAAAAAAACTTAGCCCTATTTTAGTCTTTGCTGACTCACTTTCTCCGGGTGCTCCAGTGTTCCGTGCTCCACCGTTAAGTTCTGCACTAGTACATGAATCCGAACTAAAACCTCCATTTGGGCGTCTTTTTCCGATCCGTTCGTCGGAATTCGTGTTCGATCCGTGGCCAAAGATGTTCTCCTATTTATCAACTCGTCAGTTATCTCTAGCTTTCTTCATCATTTTGGTGAGTGAAGTTGTCAATTAAAATATTTCAATTACAGCTGACAGACTATTTTATCAATTTTCATCCATATGATTTTTAATCATAAACTTTAGTTTCATTTGGGATCACTTTATGAATTTCTCATTTCAACTCTGTATTGCCCCTTCCATTCATTCATCTTCTACTATTTGTACCCGAACTACTAGGCTAGTATTTAATAGTTTGTCCATAAGTCTTAATGAACTCAATGTATGAATGGTTTGATTAAAACTTCAAATTGAATGGCTATGCACAGTTTTTTTACTTGAAAGTGACGAATGAAAGCATGACCTGGTGATGCTCATTTCATCCCAGAGCACTTGTGACCACACTGTGCATACCCGTTCTACTTCAATCACCACATTTTTATGGAGTTTATTTAGAATTTTAGATACAAAGACAAACTTCTAACTCCTACTGACCACACTGTTTATTTCCACCGTACTGCCCAAGCAATTGCTAGAGCTTACCTGAGAGCTGAACCATGGCACTCGTATTTTAAATTTTATTATTTGTTTTTCCTAAAGTTCTTTCAGTTTATTATTTATTGTTTGTTATTTTTTGAAACGCCCCAACATTGCTCTTAGAAGTTGTGGCACATGCATCATACTCATTAAAACATTTTTTACCACTACTAGTCTACTACTTCTACTACTACTATTATTTTTGTTGTTGTTGTTGTTGTTATTATTATTAATACTATTACGATGATGATGATGATGATGCTTGAGGCTCTCTTATTTCAGTTACTAGGTGATGGCTCATTTGTTTATTCATCCCGAAGTTGGGAAGCTAGGGGTTCATCTGTGTTTTCTCTGTTTAACCTCAAAGAGAAGAGTAGATTCTGGAGTGAATCTGTTATCCGAGGGGGTGAGTATGCAAGCCCTTTTTTCACCTTTTTTCAGTTGGGAACAGAGGGGTTTATTAACTAAACTTAATCTGCGATAATTGCATTGTATGCATTCAGATATGAATGATTTGGAATCCTCTGGACGTGCTAAAGTGGACATTAGCAATTATACCAAGGCAGGTACTTGTGTATCCCCAGGGTTATGCACTTATGCTTATAACAATTCACCAATTTTATGTTGGGTGACTTGGAAGTTTCTCTGCAATTACGCATTTTATACATGTGTGGCTGTGTGCTCATGTGCATGTGTGTGTGACCAGAGATTATGCTGTTATGGTATCACCTCATATATGTGTACATTTTTCCTTATCTTTTCTATTTGAGTAGATGTGAAATATGTGTTATCTCGTTCTTGTAAAACTAATACTTGGAAAGACTCAATAAGCTTTCTCAGTTTGTTATATTCACTTAGGATGATCATTTGCACTTGTCGTGTTGCTATGAATCTATGAATACTAATATGGAGTATGCCATATTATATTAAACATATGGCCAACCTTCCTAGCCTAATTGTTCATCTCCCTTCTAAGTAATAAGCATGGAAAAGTGTGATTCTAATGCAGTATAGCAGTGGGTGCCACATAGTTTCCAAGATATGAGCATGACAGCCCGTTTTATGTAATGAGCAGTTGAGCACTACTTATATCATTTGGAAATGAAACCGAGAGGAGTCCATTTACAAATGGACTCATTGATTCAACTCGTTTCCAATTCCATGGGATTGATTACAAGTAACGCGAAGTTCCATTGGAATCGGTGGGATTTTCAATTCAATTCCTCCTTTCAAAACTGTTGCATTTCTTATCTTTCTTCTGCCCATCTTGTTGTCCAACTACCATCAAGAACACATCAAAATCACTCGAATGCTTGTTCCAACCACTTGAATCTCCGCCATGTGGGTTCACACTTTGGCAGTATGAACCACTTGCAATAACCTCTTCTTGATCTCTGTCCCGAATTGTTTGTGTTTTCCCGCTCAACTTTAAAAGCTTTAATATTCCTTCTTTTACATTTTCCAGAACAGAGACACGCTTTTACATTTTTCTTTGTGCATGCTAGATGATGCTTATATCTACTTGTCCCTCCCGTGGTTTCTTTAGTGCAAAATCTACATTTTACATACCTGTAAGATTTCCCCTATAACCCTGCTCATTTTACTTCATCCCCATGATCCCACTCTGGGTTTGTCCTATTCGATTCAGGCATGGCTGTACCAGACCAGGAAAACTTCATATGGTGAAACAAGTCGAACAACACAACAAGAACGATTTTATTTGTACAAAAACTAAGCAATAAACAATTAAATATAAACCATCTTTCCGTCAATCCAATCCTGGGCCAAGCTATGTAGGTCAGCAATGCTTAGAAGAGACAGTGGAATATAGGGGGTGTTTGGAATTGATTCTACTTCTGCTTCTTTTTTGAAAGCAGAAGTAGAATCAGAATCTGTTTTCTGGAAGCAGGTCTCCCCTAGCTTCTAAAAATTGCTTCTAGGAGCAATTTGAAACACTTAGAAGTACTTATGCACTTCCACGTTCCACCCAAACACTCCAATAGCTTCTTCTGCTCCCTAAAGAAGGAAAAGAGTTTTAAGAAGTAGATTCAAACACCCTCATAACACAATAAAAAGTATACATGAATATTAGTAATGTAAAAGTACATAAAAATACAAATCCAGAAAAATGAGAAAAATATAAAGTGAGTAAGAGCTATATAAAATTAAAAACCCACCAACCCATGCATATAGCTATATAAACAAACTGTGCAGCATATTAATTCATTGCATAGTAATTCTCTAACGACATGAAGTATTATATTGGGAAAATAATATTGGAGGAGAAGTAACAAAGTTATTTTCCCCTTTCAATATTTTAATATGGTTTTAGAAGATAACCGGTACGTATATATCTCAATCAACACTATGTTACTCATTTGAACTTAGCTAAAGTACCCAACAGTCACAAACAAGGATATTTGCCCCAAAAATCCTTTTTCAAAGTTGTCAATCACGTGAATGCATGATTGACCGTACAAATAAGCATATTTGGACTAATCCTTTCATGTTAAAAAAACTCAAAAACACAAAAACTCACCTTGCTGAAATCACAGATGAGAAAAGGAAGGTAGAGGAGGTTGAGGCAGCACTGTCATACTTCGCAGATGAGAACTTGTGAGTCGCGAAAGTCTCAGGGACGCACACAGGACAGAATGCAATGGGATGCGCCCACAAATAATTATTAAGTGGGTCTTTTTTTATTTAGTGAGCCCAAAAGTACTCGTACACCCTCCTCTCACATACGCCTCTCTTTGCCATGTCGCGGATGCCTCTGCCATATTGCGTACGTTAACCATTGCCTCAATAGGCAATGCCTTTTGAGGCGCGTGCCATGAGGCGCAATTGCATTGCACAATTACGAACACTGCTTAAGAATCTAAACTGAAAATAGTCCAATCAAGAAGTTGAACCCTAAAACCTATTTAGCATACTAAACTATTTTGTATTACAAGAAAATGAGAAATGAAGTTACATAAGATATTGATTGTCCCTGGATAAGGCGCACTGGATTCTGGTTATGGTGTTGCTGTGTGACCGAGAGGTCAAGGGTTCAAGTCGTGGGAGTGTACTCTAGTCAAAATGACAAGTCAAGGCTTGCTCCTTATACATGGGACCCTCGCCTTTCGGGATGCCAATGCGCACTAGGCTGCCCTTTATTGATTGTCCCTGGAATTTCTGCAAAACAATGATGCTCTGAAGTTTACTGAAAACTGGTTCTCTGTGGTGTTTTTCATGTTGTAAGCAGACAAAAGATTCAATTATAAATATTGTATTCAAACTAGATGTTTTGGAGATGTCCAAAGCCTTCATTTTTGCTACAAAGTTGATGCTTTTGGATTTGGACCTGTAACCAACCAGTCACAAAGGAGTAACAATAGTTTGCACTGGCCGCCTTTCTGTATTTCATGCTGTCTGAATGAACTTTACTTCTCAAGTGGATGATTTTTAAAATAATTTTTGCATATTCTATATAAAATGGTAAAATATATCAGGGTATAATTTGTCATTGAGCGCAGCCAGTCTTTCTTGTATGCAGGCAATATTGCAAATTATCTGAAGCTTTTGGAAATCGACTCTATGTACCTTCCAATCCCCATTAATTTCATTTTCATAGGATTTGAAGGAAAGGGGAACCTAGGTATTAAATCATATTCGTCACCACATATTCCCCAAGTTTTGTAGATGTCTTTTTATAAGTCAAGTTATTTACTTTATTTTGTCATATGTTCTATACCTTGTGCTGCTTTAGAGTTCAAGCTACAACCTGAAGAAATGGAGCGTTGGTTCACAAAAATTGATCATATATTTGAACATACAAGGATTCCGCAGATAGGGGAAGTCCTTACACCGTTTTACAAGATTAGCATAGATAGAGAACAACGTCACCATCTTCCTTTAATCAGCCATTTAAGTTACAAGTACTAATGTTACTCTCTTATATAACTTTTTTAGTGTCAATTTACGTAATTCTTGAATTGAAATTGCCTCTTAGTTCACTAAAAGAGGTTCTGTTAACACCAAAGTGCCTATGCAGCTTTTCTGTTCATGCCATCCAGATGGGCGAAAAGGTTACATCTATTTTTGAGCGAGCCATTAATGCCTTTGGCCGCAGGGAAAATGTGTCGAAAACCAGGTGCATTTTATTTTCCACCAGTGCACTTTTAATTGATACCCTATACCCTTTTCCTTACTGTAGTTTCGTGTATCCGTATGGTGTTTTTTCTTCTTTGAAGTGATGATGGAGATGATCTTTGGCAAGTAGATCTGGATATGATGGATGTAATTGTTGATAGCCTTGTGGAGTATCTACAATTGGAAGATGCATACAACATTTTCATTTTGAACCCCAAACACAATGAAAAAAGAGTTAAATATGGCTACCGGTATGTATTCAGAATAGTTGGTCTGATGATCATAATTTTTTTTATTTTCTCCAGACTATAAAACATGTCCGTTCCACTGACCAAAAACAGAATTCCTTAGTATTGAGAGTCATGTCCCTGCAATGCAACATGATCTTATTCATATATAAGTTGCCAAGTTGGATTTGTTAGCTTACTGACTTAGTAGTTGATAAAAAGTATTGCAACTTTGTCTTTTTAAAATTTTGGTTCAAATAATTATGAACCTATTATTAGTATAACAGTATTCCTGTGCACATGCATAAATGCACAATGACATGCCTTAACTATACGCCAGCATTTCTACAAATGATTGATTATATGAGACATTATATTCACTTTTTTGTACTGATTTTAAGCTCTTTGATATTTGAGTGAGGTGTGACTGAAGCATCCTAATGATTTATATTTGAGCTGATTTAAGCAGATCCGGGCCATCCAGCCTCTGATGATAAATGAGAAACCTTAGAACCATACCTGTTTAAGGAGCTTAAACCTGCCCATACATGCATGATTTATTTGAGCCTTTTTTCGTATTTTTTCTTTCGCTTGGTCTCCTTTTTAAATCCATCATGAAACATTGCAGGAGAGGATTATCTGAGGCCGAAATAAACTTTTTGAAGGAGGTACATATGGATGTGGTCACTACTTTTTATCTTCTTCTCGTGCGCTGGATGTTTTTTTTGTTGTACTGCGGCATTCTCGATGCTCTATTTGACGCTTCTGGAAGCTTTGATTAATCATTTTAGAAAACTTTTTGAAGTATTATACTATCATACTGATGAGCTATGTGCCTATGTTGCACAGAACAAGGAACTGCAATCAAAAGTTCTTCAGTCAGGAACTGTTTCAGAGAGTGTCCTAGGTAAAGTCCAAGCGATATTCTAGTTATTTATTTATTTATTTAGTTATTTATTTATTTATTTATTTATTTAATTATTTATTTAATTATTTATTTATTTATCTATTTATTTATTTATTGGTCTATAATTCTATCCACTTTTTTTTTTTTTTTTTCAGCTCTTGACAAAATGAAAAAACCTTTGTATGAAAAACATCCAATGGCAAAGTTTTCCTGGACTGTTACTGAAGAGAGTGACACGGTATTTTTGTTTTCTGGGGCAATCTACATTTCTTCTCTTCACACTCAAACATTATAACTATTTGATTGATTTACTAGTATTTTAAAATTATGCTTGCTGAAAATCATGTGATGGACTTCGGTAGCAGGAATCTTAGGCATTGCGTAAGCTTGTATTTTGACTATTTTCATGTTCTTTTATTGAAGAAGCTGAGAATGGTGTAAAGACAGTATAATGTGGTGGAACCATGGACAAATCATGCATAATACTACTCCCTTCGTCCCATTTTACCTATCCTACTATCCTTTTTGGGTTGTCCCAAAAGGCCAAAATAAGTGTCTCCTTTCCTTCTTGGAAAGAAATATGTGGCCTACACCATTTCACTTTATTATACTCAAACCTCAACCACAACTTTTACTTTTTCAACCACTTTATTAATAATCGTGTCAAGACAAAGTGAGACACATAAAATGGGACAGAGGTAGTACTATACTAGTGCTTCTTTGGCACTGTTTTTATTCAGGATTTCATATCATGCTATTGGTGGTTGCTTTCACTTGTCTTTAGGACCCTTATAGTGAGAAGGTTTAGTGTCTTTGCAGAACCCTCTTTTTGAACAAATACTACAAAAATATACATTTGTATGACCTAAACAAGTACAGTCTCTTACAAAACTCTCTCCACAATATTTGCCCTTACCAAACTGCTTTTCATCATTCTCCAAGTAATTATTTTTAATTACCTTTTTCTTTCTGTAAGAACCCATGCCTTTTGTTCTCATTTGAATTTTTCATGTGCTGAACCTGGAAATTTTCATGCTTGATTTTTTTTTTTATTGTTGACAACTGAAAATTTTCATGCTTGATTATTACTGTACTTTCCTTGTTGAAATAATTGCAGGTAGAATGGTGTAATAGATGCCTGAATGTGCTAAACAATGTTGAAAGTCTATCTCAAGAGAAGGATGCATCTAGCATCATCCACAGTAAAGTTATGCAGGTATATGTAATTAAGCATTTAAACTTTGTGTCGTTCCACCAAAGACCTAGTGGTCAAGTGGCGTAAGTGTGTGAATTTGTGTAAAAGGTTATAGATTTGATATGCCCCCATAGATGCATCATTTTTGTCCTCCCTGATTCATAAATATTAGGAATCAAGGAGTCCTGTATTGCGTGAAGTTAAGTCTTACTCTGGCTTGCTTATGTGCAAAATCAAATTGTAAGTCCTTTAAAGTGATCACCGAATGTAGCTATGCTGTAAATTCAAAGTAAGATCCCCTTTACATTAGCTTGAGCTTCTTCAAAAAGTTCCCCCCAAGAAGGTTAATTTTTGAAGTCCCCAAAAGTTGTTGATTTTCCCGCACTTCATTTATCATGAAAAGTGCTTTCAACTCTGTTTTGGTCGGACTAACTACACTAATTAGTCAAGTCCTAAATAAGATGTGACATCATGAAGCATTTTGTTAAAAAAAGCAGCTTATCAAATGAGCAATCATTGTAGTCTTGGTGCTTAATTTATTCTAGCATTTGAAATACACCAAAGATCACGATGCGTTGGTATGTTCTAATTTGCAATTGTTCTGAAGATCTTAAAAGGGAAAGGCGACGATCTGCAGTCTCTTTTCCATAAGGAGTTAAAATCTGGGGATTTTAGTGGTTTGCATGCAGAATGTCTCACAGATACATGGGTTGGAAATCTCAGGTTCAGCCTTTAAACTCCCCTGTCCCATTTCGTTAGATACTCTTCTTTTTTGTCTGTTCCAAGATTATGATCACTTTTTTAATTTGTAACCCACAAACTTTTTACTTTCTCGCTTTATCCGTTTATCTATCATCCCATCTTTCCTTTTTCTATGACCATACTACTTTTTCTTTGCAAAAAAGGTTAGAACTGTAAAGCAATGACTATCTCCTTTATCTCTTAAAAAGTGCCAAGCCCAAATGTATTTTACATTATGAAAGAAAGGGAGTATCTGTTTGTGGCCATGGTTGTTTACATGTGTCTCTTACTTAAAAGAATTTTAGGAATTTATCAATCTAGGACCTGAATGATGAAATGCATCAATCTAGGACTCGAATGATTGAAAACTATCAATTTAGGACCTAAGTTTTCATAAACTTTATTACTTGTTTTTTTAAAAAAATTAAATAATATTTAGTTTTACTAAACTAATAAACTCTTGTGAAGAAAGATTCATCAAATATTAGCAATGGAATTAATAAAAATTAAATAAATCAAACCCTATGAAATTTTAGGTCCTAGATTGATAGTTTTTCATCATTCAGGTCCTATACCGATGCATTTCATCTTTCAGGTCCCGAATTGATAATTCATTAATCTTTGAGGTCCCGAATTGATAAAATTTTAAGATTTTATTAAGCTTGGCAGTTACCACAATTTTGACTCTGTTGTATATGTATATCAGATGGGCATTTATTGACTTGTCCGCCGGGCCCTTTTCATGGGGTCCTGCGGTTGGTGGAGAAGGTGTACGCACAGAACTGAGTTTACCAAGTGTGGAAAGAACCTTAGGCGCAGTTGCAGGTACTGGAGTGAAAGGATGGTTTTGTGTTCACATTTCTACTTCTCACATTGACTACCATTTTGTGATATAAAGTTAGTTGAGATCTCTTGGGCAGGATTCCATTTTTTCTTACTTTGCTGTATACAGCTTTTTTAATTATATTTCTCGCAATATTCTGACTTGATTTCTGTACATCATTTTTCACATCAAAGAATTTTGACAAGGTCATATGCTATGTTGACTTTAAAATATGAATTGCATCAAGACACGGCAATATGCATATATTAACTATCCAACTCATCGTTGTCACATACTCACATGATGATGGCAGTTTTTATGGCAATATGCATAGATTAACTCTAGAAATTTGCCATTTTTTGCATGAAGTTATAGTGTTTAGTAATGTTAATCTCATGCAACCGACCCCACGTTGGAATTAAGGTATTCATGATGATAAGGCTTTTAACAACATGATGATTCAATCTGAAACTAATCAGAACAATATTTTATTAGAATTATATTTCATGCAAGTTATGGGCAATTAGCTAATGTTGTGTAGTTGTGTAATACTGTAGTCGTGGTACCTTGACTTATTCCTAGAGCTTAGAAATGTGTGGAAAATAAAATAAAATGTCATGACATTCTGGGTTCTCATTGTAATGGGTCATCTATGTAAATAAGATTCGCTTCTAAATGAGTACTTCTATGTCAAAGTTGCTGCTTCTCAAATTTTCTTTTTGATAATTTTATTTCATCAAGTGTCAATCATTGTCGCCTTAAGAGTGTCCTTGGTGGCTTGACCTATTTCTATAGATTAAAAAAGTATGAAAAGTAATAAACAAGACTTGCTTCTAAATTAGAATATCTATGTTTAAGTTGTAGCTTTCCTACTTCTTTTCTGAGAATTGTATTTCAATGAGTAATGTCTATTGCTGCATTGAAGGGTGGCCTTGCTGCCTTGCTGGCTTGACCTACTCCTAGAGCTCAAAATGTATAAAATTTTTAAATGCCTTGACAAGTTGGCATTATGGATTCTCAACCTATTTGGTCATCTAACCTAGATTTGCTTCTAATTTTGTACTTCAATGTCAAAGTTGCAGCTCTCTTTTCTTTACTTTTATTAATGCATCTTGTGTGGACCCTAGTCTTTCTCCGAGCCTCCTATATATTTCAATTGCACCTACTTCTTCTTTTTGCTAATATATTTCAAATACACCAGAAATTTCTGAAGAAGAAGCTGAAGATATATTGCAAGAAGCCATACAAGATAAGTTTGCAGTATTTGGTGATGTATGTTCTGGACAATTCTAGTTTTGTTTTACTTGTTTTCTTTATTCATTTACTTAATACTGTGATGTAGGTGTATTTATTTATTTATTATTATTACTATTGTTGTTAATATTATTATGATTATTAGTTAGTGGTAGTAGTTTCCTACTAGTATTACTACGTATTATTAAGTCATTCAGTTATAGTAAACTTCTTACTAACCTAGCTTCATGTATCCCTATTATGATTAGGACTCATGTAATAGCTATATAAGGGTCATCAGTATGATTCAATAAACAACCTTTGAAGAATTAATTCTCGTGTGTCTTGACAAGTTTCGGCACCAATTGATTTTAGCTTAGGCTTATTTTATCATTCCTCTCTCATACTCTCTTATTTTCTAGATCTAAAATGAGATCCCAACCACTCTCGTAACAATTTGGTATCAGAGCCATTACGCTCCTGCCCGGTCCATCTTCTGCCCCCACCTTTTCTGTTTTGTCACATTCCTGCTGTTCATCTTCGCTGGTCTTTTCCCTGTAGAATCTGAATCAGGCCACCACAGAAAAAGGGTAATCTGATAACCCTAAGAAGTTGAATAGACGTAAGCCTTGATCCTTTTTCTCGATAACTCCCTGCCCATGGGTTGCTGGGATGTGTAACCGATTCACCACAAGCAACCCCCCATCCATCAGTTATTGAGATTTTTAGTTTACCCTGGGATCCAGAGGGGCCGTTTCTGTTGGAGTGTGTGTGTGGATCAGAAGATTTACTAGTCACTAGTCAGGGTGGCAAGCTGGGTGGAAAAAGATGTCACGAGATCCGTAATTTTTGCCTCAAGCGATCCTTGTCACTGGGTAATGTCTGCCATGAAGGTTTTGAGTGTCTTTGCGGTGGTGTGATCGTTTCCCATTGTCGCGGATACTGATACCAAATTTTTAAGGCCCTTGGTACAAGATCTAGTCCAAGGTCGATGATTCTGAGAAGAACGAGAAAAATATGAATCTATGGTGCCTGAAATATTAATCGACTCCCGCCCTCGGCAAGGAGTTATTGCAGGTTCCACCGTGCGCCAAATAAAAATTAATATTCCAAAAGACAAGTTTCCTAAAACAATAATAGGAAAGAAGTAATAAAGAAGCTCCTAAAGTATAAGGAAACCTGAATAAATAAACCGGTATTAGACTCAAAGTAGGAAACACATTTAATTAATAAAAATAGACTCAAAGTAGGATTGTAGGAAACTGATTTAATTAATTAAAATACTGAGGACCACTCAAGCTGGTCCCTTCTTTGATCGGCTGACCGCCTCTGGTAGACTCTGCCAAATCGACCCATATCAATTTAGCACCCCACCCTTCTTAATAATATCTTAACCAAACAAGATAAGAGACCCCCCCCCCCAATCAAGCACACCACTAATGCTTGGTATTTTCTCATTGTAGTATGAACACATACTCATGTGAATGTATTGCTGGTAGACTAATAGATCAGTTTTGGGGCTATAAATTTGTATTCCAATGCACTGAAGTCAGCATATTGGCTGCTATGCTGATACATGATGTGTTCGAAATTGCGTATTGCGTGTTTGAGGCGGTTTCTTAGCATTGCCTATTGCGTAAGCCTCATTGTGCAATGAGGCGTAAGCCTCAACTTTTTTAACAAATTTATTAATATAAAAGAACAAATAATGTAATTAATACTTAAGTAAAAGAGTATTTAAAAGGTAACTAATGTCATAATGAAAACATCCAAAATTGAGATCATACCAAAAAATATGTTATAACATCATTCAAAATAAATATTTTCTAATTAATTAAAGTTCTAGTCCTATACTCCTATTAGATCGTAGAGTCCAAAAGATGAATTAAAATAACAAAGATGAATCCACTACGTGTGGAATACTAAAATAACAAAAATAATATTACTCCTAATAATATTAAAAATTCCACTACGTGTTCCACTATGTATTAAAATAACAAAGATGAATCCACTAACTACAAACAAACTAATAAAATAATACTCCTGCATTAAATTATCCGTAGTGGAGTACCTTTTTCCTTCTCATCCAGAACATCTATGATCTATCAATAATTCAATAAATATATAAAATATTAAACCCATACCTGCCGAATGAGAGCAAAGAAAAAGTTGCAGAAGGTTTCTTCTTCTGTGCGCAGAGAAGAAATAGCGGAAGTAGGAATAGAACTACGAAGGTCGGAGAGACTCTAGGCAAACTTGTACACTAATATACTACGCGTCTTAGTGGAAGCGGAAGTTTTTTTTTTAAAATTTACTTTGGGCTGGCCCTGTTTTTTAAATAGCGCCTCAGCACCCGTTTTATTGCGTACGCAATAAACGTACGCCTTTTCCAAAAAGGCGCAGTATTCCATATGGCGTATTTGCAATTCAGCCTTATGTCCTAGAATGTTAAAAAATCACAAAGCTAGCCTTATTGCGTAGAGGCGGAACGCAATTTTAAACGTTGGATACATCAGATATGCTGTGCTTGAGTATAGGAGATTTTGAACTGTCTGACTTTTCAGCTTCTATATAATTTCCTTTTTTCTAATTGAAATTCTCAGGGAGGATTAAGAAATCTTTGGAAAATGTGGATATTAATGTTTCCGTTATCTCCACCATTGAAATGCAGATGCAGAAAGATCATCAAGCCATCGATATACTTCTTGCAGAAATTGATATATATGAACTTTTTGCTTTTAAACATTGCAAGGGTAGGAGGGTTAAGCTCGCTCTTTGTGATGGTAACTTACTGTATCCTAAATATCAATTTCACATGTGTTAAAATTCTTTTCTTCCATTTCCCTCATCTTTTGAACTGCGAGTTCATGAATCATCATGCGTGAAACCATGTACTGCTTGTTTCTGGTCAACTTTTGTTTTCCTATCAGATATCTTTATGTTTAGTTGAGAACGTAATGTATTTAGAATGCAGAAAAAATAATTCATGTTTTAAGCGGTTTTAATTGGATTTCAAGCTTTCACTTTGCATAAAACTGGTTCTATTGGTTTCATGTATTTTTTATGTTTATTGAGTCTGAATGGGGAACATGCATAAGCTGCTCACTTTGAAACTCTTTTTATGTTAAAATTACATTTCAAATGTTCTACGTCTTCCTATTTTCAATACAAAAAATCATCATCATCACCTTAATTACAACTATGTTGGGGTGCGTGCCATGAAATTTGTAGTGTCAATTTATTGTCTAATACTAGTTAGCACTATAAATGTTATAGCACTCCAAACTTATCACAGCTTGATAGGATATGTCTTCCTTTCCTGCTATTATTTTACATGAAGTGAATGGCTGCTAACAAAACATTTTTGTTAATTCTGATCGTAGAGCTTGATGAGAGAATGCGAGATTTGAAAAACGAACTCCAGTCTTTTGAGGGGGAGGAGTTTGATGAAAGCCACCAGTTGAAGGCTGTGGATGCATTAAAAAGGATGGAGAATTGGAATTTGTTCAGTGATACTCAAGAGGTGTGTTTAGCCTTCTACTACGTATGTTTTTGCTAGGTTCATTATATGTTCACTGAAGTTATCCTTGTTTAGTGCTTCTTGTTCCCTATAAGGTTGCGTAAGTGCTCGCTGTCTTACTCTATATGCTATAACAGTATTTAGTTTGGTAATTAAATGATAAACTAATTATGAGGAAGAAATTATAGCAAGGGATTTGGTGCTGCAGGAAGTTCAAAATTATACTGTTGCACGTGATACTTTCCTTGCACATTTGGGTGCAACCTTGTGGGGGTCAATGAGACACGTTATATCTCCTTCACTTGCAGATGGTGCCTTTCATTACTATGAGAAACTCTCTTTCCAACTATTTTTTATCACACAGGAGGTATAAATTTCTTTGTAATATGAAATTGAGAATATTTCCTACGACTTACGTTTTTGCACTTCGGCTTTGCAGAAAGTGAGAAATATTAAACTGCTGCCTGTTGACCTCAAGCCTATAATGGAAGGACTTTCAATGCTTAAATTGCCCTCTCAGAAAGTTCTGTTCAGTCAGCATATGTATGTCTTGGCAATTTCTTTTTCACTTGAGAAATTATCGGCTTTTCCATTGCTTTGTACCAGGCAACTTCATAGATGTTTTCCCTTAATTTCTTTGTCTTTTCCATTCCCTGTCTACCCTAACCTCTATGAACTTTCTCTTAAACACCTTACCCTTGTTCATCATTCAGATTTAGAAAGGTTAAATTCCTACCAAAATAAACAAGGTGGACCTCTAATAACATGCAAAAAAGAGAGTTTGCATGTGCTCTTCATCCATGTATGTAATTATTTCTGTACTTGCACTTTTTTCATCTCATGTAACGCGTCTAGGTTATCCCTGTCGGAAGATCCTGCTCTGGCAATGGCTTTTTCTGTGGCTAGAAGAGCAGCTGCTGTTCCCCTTTTGCTTGTGAATGGCACATACAGGAAAACTGTCAGATCATATCTTGATTCTTCCATCCTCCAGCATCAGCTACAAAGATTGAATGATCATGGTTCTTTGAAAGGTTTGTTTTACAATGAGCACATTTCGGCATGTTATGCATTTCCTGAGTTTTTGTGATATGTGAAGACAGAAGACCCCCCCCCCCCCCAAACGAAGACAGAGAACCACGCTGTTGTCGGGCCTGATTATTTAAGCAATAATTTCAGTCTGAAACAAGAACACGGGAAACCGCTTATTTTAAATTATTCCATAATGTGGTATATCAAAAGCTAAAAGGCATAAGATGAGGGTGAATGAGAAGTTACAGTATGCATGTATATATATATATATATAGATTTTGGTTCAAGTGAGAAATACATCTAATGTGAGAAATGAGAATTAATCCCAGTATTAGATTTATGCACTAAAAAGAACTTCATGTTGCCGTGGGATTTAAATTTTGCAATGTTGCACTAAAACTGTTTTATGTCGCACTAAAATTTGACGATGTTGCAATGTTGCATAAAAACAGTTTCGTGTTGCACTAGACACATGTAATACGGATTTTTCAGAAGTATTTACGAAAATGCCACCGTATTAGGTTGCATATTTCAGTGCAACATGAAGTTGTTTTTAATACAACATAGTGGAATCCAATGGTTGAGATTCATTATCATCTCTCAGCTAAAAGCTTCTTCTAATTGGAACTTCACCCTATATATATGTGCTTGAAAAAAATGAAAAAAAAAAGAATTATATATATATATATATATATATATATATATATATATATATGTGCATCACATGCAATATTGCTGTAAATGACATTCATTTGTTCTTGTTATGCAAGATACCAGTGCTTGTGAATCTACCCATTCTTTAATTGAGTAAAGTTGGCATACATGAATACATGATGTATATTGCTGTAAATGTCATTCTATTATTCTTCACATCTAGACATTGAAATGTGTGGTTCTCTCCATTCATTCACTAAAACAGGCATATCATGGATGTTCTTAGGCTTCTTTAGTTAAGTGCCAATTTATTGATGATGCAGGGTTACATGCCCATAGTAGGTCAACTCTGGAAATCCCTATCTTCTGGTTTATTCACGGGGAACCATTGTTAGTTGATAAGCATTACCAGGCAAAAGCACTACCCGATATGGTTATTGTTGTTCAATCAGAATCATCATCATGGGAAAGTCATCTACAGTGTAATGGGCGGTCACTTTTGTGGGACTTGAGGTTATATTTTGAATTGATGATGAATATTCGGTGTTGATACTAGCAAATTTATTCTACTTTCGATGGTATAGGTTATGTAATAATTAAAAAATTGAATTTTAACTTGGCTGGTTTTACACTCGGTGCATTCACATTGCATAGTTACCATTGTGATATCAGTTTTAAAAAGATAAAGGTGAAGGAATAACTTTGAATCAACTTTTTCCATGACTAATGACCATCATTCTTCATCCTGAGCACTTCTATTTTTCACTTCTATTTTTCCTGAGATAAAATAATGTGAGAAATCTTGAAGGCAGTACAAATAACAATTGTTGTCCGTTTTCCCTATGGTCTGTTAGGAGGCCTGTAAAGGCTGCTTTAGCTGCTGTCTCAGAACATCTAGCTGGAATACTTCCTCTTCATCTTGTTTACAGTCAAGCCCATGAAACTGCAGTCGAGGTTTGTCTTGCATGGAATGTAATTTTATCTATTGAATTATCTGGTCATAGATAGAAAGCTTCAGTGCAATATGTTCTGATTGAGAACTTTCTTTTATTGAGTTGTTATTCAACTCCCAGTGCAATGATTATTTCATGATCCATTTTGATAAAGTTATATCCTTTTTATTACGTAGTATAAAATTATATCTTCATTTGTTGTTAATGCCTTTTTGAACAGGATTGGATATGGTCAGTAGGTTGCAACCCCTTGTCTATCATTTCTTCAGGCTGGCGCATCTCGAGATTTCTATCTGACACAATTGCTCGAAGTTATATACTCACAAGTCTTGAGGAATCAATTCTACTCGTCAACTCAGCCATTCATCGCCTTGTCATGGAGAAGACGTGTATCCTTTTGAGTTTGATCTCTGGCATATGTGTCTTTACACCCCATATTTTATACCAACATTTAATTTTCCACCCATGTTTTATTTTCTTTGATTTGACCTCTGATTTCATATGTTGGTTCATGTTACCTGATCCCCAACACTTTTGGGGCCAAGGCTTGGATGTTGTTTTATTTTCTTTGAAAATGCACCTATTCCAGGGTCGGTCATTTCTCCAAAAACTTTGCACACCATCATTTACTTCTTCTTTGAAACATGTTCTTGCATGGTTGCACCCATTATTTACTTTAATTTAAGACTTGATCCAGACTCTGGAGTCCAAAGCATAGTTGTGAGTTATTTTATCCAGGGCACTAGGGCAGTATGACATCTTCTTAGCCTGTGAAATAGTGTGTTTGTTCTACTTAACGTGAAACAGCAGAGAGGACTTTCAAGCTCTTTCAATCTCAGGAGCGTGAGCTATTAAACAAATATAATTATGTTGTCAGCTTGTGGAGAAGGGTACGCAATGCAATGCACAATTTTATCATTCTTTCTGCACTTGAGACTTTTACTGCTTTGCTCATATGATGATGCATATAAATATACTATACAATCGAAAATTATATTCTCTCATAGCCACATGTCATTGTTAAATGTGAACCTATATATACAAGAGCTGAAGAGGTTACAAATTACAACTTATTAATACTTCATGTGCCCCAACTTTTACAAAAAGGTTTGCCAACTTTCTTAATCTGGCTGTCCCAAAAAGTTTGACCTCATAATTTGTACTTCATTATTTGTTGAATTAGTCAAACTTGGGAAAACAAATAGGGGCGGAAAAGTCATTTCATTTCACATGAGAGAATATATAGGTTCTTTTTCACTTCATGTTTCATTCCCATTTAATAAGCTGGGCTCTTTCTCTTGCTCATGCTCATAAGCTCATGGTGTATGGGTGTCTTTTTCAGATTTCAACTGTTTCTGGAGAGCTTCGTTATTCGGATGCATTGGTACTTCTGCATACCCTAGAGGATGCATCAAAAGGGTTAGCTACCCCCATTGGTTATTATTACCCTCACATGACAACTTCTAATTTTTATTTTTGAAGATTACCAGTGTCTCTTTGTTAGTCTTTAGATTAGAAAATAACTGCAGTGTATATGTTTAATTAAAGCATTTATTTCGATACAACTTTTCTTCCCTACTTTCTTACCAAGCAACTAAGTGTAAGAATAAATTAATGAGATAGGTACCACCCCTCCCTCCGAATTCCCACTCGACCAAACTCATCCCCCCCTCAATAGAATAGGTTCCAATCTCGATCAACCCCCTCCCACCTGTGTTTTTCTATGAATGGGGTTTAATTTGAATCTGATTAGCTATATGACCTAAACAGGGACCCAAGCTCCTCGCTACATAAATCCTACATAAAACCTGGTTCTTAATTTGTTATTGATAAATGTCTCTCTTTTGGCAGGTTTGCAGAGTATACAAATGTGACACTAGCCAGCCTCTCTCCAATTCACTGCACAAGCCACCGGAAAGTTGATGTTGATTTTGACATGACAACCATACCTGCCTTTTTGGTTGTTCTCTTTATTCTATGGTTTGTTTTGAGGCCAAGAAGACCAAAGCCAAAGATCAATTGAAGCGGGTTTCTATTAACTGCTAACAAATCCAATCTACTAACTGCTAACAAATCCAATCTATGAAGGACCAAAATTTTCTGCTTCCAAAACAAATGTTCTGCAGTGTGTAATGTATTTTTCTCTTCATCTGAGTCTTGCCGTAAATGTTTTCTCTGATCTTAGGTTCTTGGCAGAGGAAGTCAAGAAGCTAGAATGAAACCAAAATATGAAGTGATCTTATTATTACAGCTGATGTACCAATGAGAACTGAGTTTTGCTAAACAATGAAAGACAAGTATATGCTCAGGAAACCAAAGTATCAGGTAGTCTACGACCCCTCATTGCGAAAAGCATGCCATTTCAAGACATATTTACTTTTGTTAAGCAAGGAAAATGCTCAAAACATGCTTATTACTTGACCAGTTTAGTGGAGGTGTTTTTTTTTTTTACGAAACGTTTTGAAGGGTGGTGGTGTATATCTTTGACATATATTTGAGATTATAAAGATTATTATTTACTACGCACATAATATGTGATTGTATAACATTTCCGTCCTTAAAAGCATTGCCATTAATAAAAAATTGCTCTAAAAAAATTAAAAGTAATGTGAAATTTTTGGATAAAAGCATTATGTTTTCTTTCCCCAAATAATACAGAAAATAAAATCAATTTTGACAATAATACTATTGTATTAATATCTATAATGTTTTTTTATGAATATCTATTATGTTAAAAAAATATTCTCTCTTTTTATTTAGTCATTTTTTACTTTTGCAATCAAAGATGGTAAATTTTAATCTATTTCATATCATTTTCATATTATCAATACTATCGTGTATAAATATATAATCGGTCAACGTTTAATATCATTGACTTGAAAATCAAATTTGGCTAAATGAAAAGGGCTCATAATTTACTCATGCTTTAGAAAAAAATCACAATACCCATTTTCAAATTTGACATTATTTTTAATTCTATTTTAGAAAATCTCCCTTTGTTTATTAACTATAGGGGATAAATGGCATTTCAGTAAAAAAAAAGGGTGGTTTGACCACTTTTAGTGCTGTGAATAAATCAAAACGTTGTTTGGTAAATTGCTGTTCAGCTGCTCAGCACAAACGTTTTTGGATAAAATTGGTTAAATAAAAACATTGTTAATAGGAGAGTTTTGAGTTAGCGCTTTAGATATGATGCTTTCGACTAATTTAAACATTTTCTGACAACCCACTAACTTATTCCGCTAGTCAAACTCGTTGATTGAATGTGCTATTGACAACTAGCTAACATAATTTGGCAAACACCCCATATAGTCTCTTAGTTCATGGAACTAATGTATCAACTAGCCCTTGACCTTTGGTTTCTATAGGGAATAGCAGAACAGCAACTCCTGCAACAATCGCTACAACCTCAAATAAAAATATCGCTGCCTTTATTTCACAGCCGTTAACCAATTGAACAGCAACCATGGGACATATCATCCCTGCAATTCGCCCTACCGAGTTGGCAACTCCGGCCCCTGTGTTCCTCACAGAAGTTGGATATATCTGCGCATGAGAAATAAACAATTATGGGTTTGGAAATGCTAGAACTATCCTGGTTTGGCCTGAGTTTAGCTTATTTTTTAAAACTGAAGTAATTTTAAAACCCATGATTGCTCCATGCTAATCTTGGAGGAACTGGAATCAGTTTGGACCAGCTTTGGGAACTTGTTTCGGTATGAAACTGCATTAAAGGGCGTCTAGTCCAGTTTGTTACTTGCCCAATTCGATTCCGAAACCAGGACCTGGTTCATCCCTAGGTTGAACACTTGAATCAAAAGCTGCTAACCTATAATTCTATAAATGACAAACAAGGGCGCAGTGTTGACCTCAGGGCAATATATCACAGCAATTGTGAATGTCCCAATGAAACACATACGAGCTCCGGATAATAAGAAAGTGGTTAAAGTCTCATTCTGATGTAAACCAATTGGTAATACAAAGAGAAAGCCCAATGCGAACATAAGCGCCAATGTAATTTTCCGACCAACTTTGTCCACCAAGGTTGCTGCTAAAATAAGACCAGGAACCTCTGCACATTATTCTTTCTCTGTTATTTCTCAAAAACAGAAATGACCCAGTTCAGAAAATATATATAGAATGATTAGGAGTATTTGACAAAAATCACTTCCCTATCTTTACATCATTAACTAAAAAATGAATCTATATAACTTTTTTAGGGACTAAAATAGTTCACAGAAATGTACCTCTTTTGGTAGGGAGTACAATATTGTTATGAGGAATAATAACCAAAATAGAATATCGGTGCAAATAGAAGACTATTTCAATTGTTAATTACAAGAAACTAACACTAAAATATTAGGAAGTGCTAAAATTACCTGCTAGACTGGTGAAAAAGACATCTCTATATAGGTTAGAGTTACTGCTCAAGCCTGATGAAGTAGTTGAGAGGCATTTAGTTTGGCCACTGCTAAGCTCTGAGGTCATTAGTATAACTCCATAATACAAAAATGCATTCCCAAAATACAGTGTCCATATGAGAAGGGTAGTTCCCATTAATTTGGGTGACAATATTGCAAACGGAGAAGAGAATCCGCCTCTAAGATTAGCACAATTGCCTGTTTCCTTTGATGGTAAAGCTTCTTCATTGGCACCAATAGTTTTCTCACAAACAAGCATTCCAGTTGGAAGTTTGGTTTTGTTCACCGCAGCCATCCTTTGCAAGATACTGTGAGCATCTTTTACCCTTCCCTTGGAACACAGGTACCTAGGAGATTCTACTATGAGACCATAAAAGGCAAGTGTGGCAAATGATGGTATCGATGATAGTGCAAGCAACCACCTCCAACCCAACTTTGGCATAACAACCTATAGTAATATATCAAAGAAATGTCTATACACTTGTATTCACCTAGGTATACATGAAATAAATATTGAGTAAATGAATTCTCACATTCCGTGACGGAGCCATACAAAAAAGGATGACACCCCATCTCCAAGGGCCCCCACTGTTGGGAGACGGGTCACACCAAAAGTAGAACAAAGATTTACAAAAGAAACTAATGCATTTAATAATATGTCTTATACTCCAAATGTAATTTATCTCATTCTTTTCTTTTAACTAGTTTTGTACTGTAGTTATTATTGGACCGGACCGGAGCAGAAGTGGGTGGGGCTCTAAACACTCCAACGAATGACACACCATTATTTGATAATCAATGAGGGAGGTGGGAGAAGAGGAAAAAATCCTAGAACATGATGCTACAACATAAAGATTAATAAAAAACATTAATACGTTGAAGCCCTCAACACAAGGTTTCCCACCAGTCTTTGCTCCTAGAAGCTTAGTGGATACCGTAAATCATTCGACACTATTTACAAGATCTATTGAAAAGTTTTACATGAATACTTTTGCCCATAAGGGGGTCACTTGGATACAGGAGGACAGGTCGGGGGTTGTTGTTGTCATTGTCGACTTGTCGACGTTGTCGTCATTCATGAGATTCAACCTTGGGTGATTCTTAGACCATTTGGAGTGGTGTAAGAGTCCAAATGTCAAAAATAGACTCCGTCGATATGAAAACAGTGTTTTGACTCCTATTTCTCTGCATTCCAGCACCGTCAATAAAATACACTCTGCACATTTTTTACATATCAATTTAGTAAAACATTAATTAAATTATTATAAGTAATGTTTTCATTTTAATTCTTTTTCTCTGAATAATTATGAAATAAAAAAGTACAGATTTCAATGTAAAAATAAATAAATTTCATTAATTTTTTAAACATTTTTGTGTTAAAGAAAAATGAACTTAGTTTAAGTAAAGTTCGATTGTGGAATATTAAGTTATTTGTGTAGGATCCATGAATTAAAAATTTGTGTTTCTTGTTAATTTAGGTTCAAGAAAACTTCTATAGTCATAACTTCAGATTTTTTTTCATTTTATATATTACATATTGGTGTCGTATAAATGATCATAAAATTTCATGAATTTTGATATTTTTTTGAAAAATTCGGATAAAAAATAAAAAAGTTATAAAGATTTCAAAAAAAATTGTGATTTAATGACGTCACCATGACGTCATCCAATGCATCTCTCCCTACGCAAACAAACGCTTGGTTTTTCTTTTCCCGTTTCTTTGCACTCTGTCGATAAGCCCTTCTATTTTTAACACCTTCCACCCACTTACCCACTTTTAACCCCCTTTATAGCCTACCACTACACACCATTAGGAGTCCAAAATTTTCAAATTTAACATTTTGGACTCCTAAAACTCTACCACTCCAAATGGTCTTAGAGAGTTAGAGCGGGAGTGATGCCACCCGGACCATAGATTAACCAAAAATAAAACAAAAAAATTCCATCCCAAATTAGACTCAAGGGCCACCATACGTCTTTGCCCTATACAATTGGTAAGTGTGTTAAATCTTGAGACATTGTTGCCAAAGTCTGGCTTCATGAACCTGCAAAGGAGCTTTAGGAAAAGAAAACAGCTCGAGACGCGTGAACGTTGCCATCGAGAAAGTATTTAGAATCAACGAAAATTAACTCGTGTTTGAACGGGTATAAGAATTCAAAAGGATTTTCAAAGAACGAAGGGGCAAAATCTGCCCGCGCAGGGGTGTGGATATTCGATTTTGACAAAAACGGCCAAAAACCTATGTGCCCAAGAGGTTCTTGTTTGAACGGGTATAAGAATTCAATTTGGAGAAAGGGAACCTCTTTCTCTATTTTCCTTTTACTGTTTAGATAGGAGTGAGCACTTAAATAGGCTCAAAACTTCCTTCAAAACATCGGTGTGGGACAAAGATAATAGGCCAAGTCAAAAACTTCACTTGAAATACTCAAATTTTCCGAAGAGTTAATTAGTCTGCACACTTGACGATCACTATAACATAACACTAGGTATGAAATACACAGATGCCTGGGGACTTGGTTCCTAAACGGAATATGAGCTTTAATTGTTTAGGTAGAAGGGGATGGTGTAAACCACTAAGCCAAACATTAGTGCATGATTCAAGAACAAAAAAGAAACAAGTATATACTGTGATACTATGAGTTGTTCAAGGACAGGACATACCCATGCCAAAACAGCCTCAAGAATACCTCCAAGAGTCCAGAATGTTGAAAAGATAACCATCCAGATGCCCCGGTTTCGAGGAGGCACAAACTCTAGAAACCAACAAAAGTAAACAGATGCGCCACCCAGGCCAGTACCAACCATAGAACGAAGAATGAGCAAGTATATATAAGTCATGGAAAAAGCGCTTGAAAGAGATGATATGGCAGTCACTATTGCTATGCTCAGTATAGCCCTCCTGGATTTGGATCATAGATTGCAAAAGTGAAGCAATGTTATTGTTAGGTGATGTATATCAAAACATTAAAATGATCGTATACTTCCTCCGTCCCACTAAACTTTGTCAACTTTCTTATTTAGCTGTTCAAAAAAAATTATTATCTCCTCTTGAAGTAACACATTTGTGGTTAAATCAACCGCAATTTTTAAACAAAGTAAATCATAATCCTTAAAACATTATGGGGGTTAATAAAATTTCATCTACCATGTATTCAAAACTAAATTTGACTACAACAACGTTCAATCCTTAGTTTCAAAAGATTTTGCGGTCAAAACTAAATTTGACTATATTCAAATAATTGTGTGTACTTGAGATCATGTTTTTAAATTGCGGTTGCAGTCACTCTAATGATAGCAATTATTGTTGGTACAATGTGTAATGCGAGCAACCTGGTGTGAGTTGATTTTATATTTGCATGTATTAAAAAAATATTGTTTATATATAAAAAAAATTTATGTCATGAAGGGAGTGGGCGCACCGGTTATGGTGTTTTTATGTGACGGAAATGTCACGGGCTGCTCCCCCCTCCCCCATTGTTTATATAATGCACTAATAATACTCGTGTGTGATACTACTCACATTAGTGAGCATAAAATTTAATGTTCATTACAAAATATTATGAAAAATTCTTTTAAGAATTGATGAGTAAAAAGAGATCAAAAAAATGAAAATGACACTATTAATGTGAATTATTATTACAAAGTACGATAAATAAGCACATAGTTATAATAATAATAATAACAATTATGATATTAAATTAATAATAATAATAATGATAATAAAAGAAACTAGAAAATAATGGTGCGACTTGCCCCAATTGTAAAGTGTTGTGGACCACGACATCAATATTACTCTCTAATTTTTAAATTTAGGATCTTTTTAATTGGACTGATTTTTTTTTTCTAGTCTGATCTGATATGATTTGTCTAAGTCTGGTACGATCTTTTCTAGTTTGCGTGTGTTTATAATTGTCGAAGTCTGATATGATCTAATTAGATTTGACCTGGAGTGATTTGGTCTGATCTGGTCTGAGATTGAAATTAGTCCAACTAAAAACATCCTTAATTTAAACTCTTTTGAATGAATAAGTAAATAACTTGAAGTTAATCAAAAAATTATGAATAAAGTTTTAAGCATTTATTATCAGTAAGCAAAGAACAAAAAAATAAATAAGAAAATGACATTATTAAGTAAACAATTATTACAAAATAGCGCACTAGACCTTCCAACGGTTCCTTCATTAGGGAATAAAATGGGACCTGCCCATCGAGTACAAAGTATGGTACATTGTCACCACTTTGAAATATATTTTCGGTCTTTCATTCAAAAGAAAACTTGATAAACTTAACTAGTTAATAATAATAATAATAATAATAATAAAAATAATTACTCCGTAGTATAACAATAATAATAATAAAGAATGACAAAATTAATATTCCTGCGGTTTGACGTGGTTACATTGCAATCGTGTTGCGTTGGGGAACGCAGGCAGCAACATTGATCTCTATATATTTTTTTTATTTTAATTTAACTGTCAACCTAATTTAATTACCAAGTACCCGCCGTTTATGTTGCTCTCTGTCTCTCTTTAGTTTTGATCATGACTGAGACATCTCTATCTCTTGATATGGTGAAAAAATTATGTCTTATGCATATTAAGACTGTGTAACTGTGTTTGATGTTTCACGATCAACAACAGTAATACTACTCGTCCATCAATTAAAGTCGTCCCAATTTGACATTTGAATCAAATTTGTAAACTTTGACCATTAATTATTCAAAACCAATAATATTTTATCACACAAATAAATTTTATGTGTTTCATTGTAACATATATTATTCAAATATCAAGTTATTATAGATTATAATATTATATAGGTATATGTTTATAGATAGTTACGGTTGAACATCCACTTAGGAAACCACAAAATCAAACTGAGACTTTAATTGTGAGACAGAGAAAGTATATTACTCCCTCAGTTGGTTTATTTAGTTTAAGATAAAATACTTCATTCGTTCATCAATTAAGTTTAACTTTAACATTTCCCGATGAAATAATACATTTCCTGACTAACTAAACTTCCTGTGTGTATATATGTATATGGTTATTTTGGACATTTTAATGTCAAACGGTGTTTTAAATACTTTGAAGTAAACATGAGCTTACAAATCTGCTTATTTTATGCGCCGCTGATTAACACGAGTCTTAATAACCCGTGAAGTAAACGTGTCCTAAAAGCATCTCCAATGCTACAATGTGAACGTTGCACATGTGATATGAGAGATAGTCACATAAATTTTAGTAGATAAATTACATCTCTCTTTATTTGAATGATTTTATACAACTTTGATAAGTTTTTCCCTCCGTCCGTCCCATAAAATTGTTCCCTCATTGACTTGGATCGGAGTTTAAGAAAATAGGAATAAAGTAGAAATGTATGGTTGTGGTTGTGTAAGAAAGAGGTAAATGAATATGAGCCACACAAAACTTTCCAAAAGGGCAAAGTGGAACAATTTTTTGGGACGGCCCAAAAAAGAAACTAGGAACAATTTTTTGGGACGAAGGGAGTACGTAGTAATATTTATGCGGCTATCTCTCATGTCATGTGTACATGGACATTGTAGCATTGAAGATACTCAAAAAATTCTGCTTATTACACAATTGAGCGCACGAAAAAGTTGGTTCACAAGCCATCAAAGCGCCCAAAAAATGGAGCTAACCTTCTTCCATAACGATCAGAGAAGAGCCCCCAGGAATAAGCTCCGATGAGCATGCCTGTGAAAACAACGGTGGTGATAAAGGCCTCCTGGGAATCGGAGAGCCCCCAAACGGACTTAACAGAGGGCCCAATAAAGGACAGAATCATCACTTCCATGGCGTCCACAAGGTAGCCCAGCCCTGCGTAAGCTAGCACCCAGAACTGGAATTTCCCAAACCCTGCAGCGGTAAGCCCCTCGTCGATCGAGTAGCAACCGCCGCTGGAATCATCTCCCACCCTCTCATACTCCGGCGGCACTTCTTCATCCTGTTTCGCCGAATTAAATTACCAGTTTAAATAAGCGATTCCATTGAATTCAATCCTTCCAGGTCCCGACAACAACAGCAGGAAGAGGAAGAAGAAGAAGATAAGTGAGTATACTACATTACCGTAAAAATCATTCCGCAAAATTCAGGAGAAGGAGAAGAAATGGAAAAATGTTTAAAATCTGGAAAATTCAAACTAAATGCAAAATTTCTCCTCCTCTCATATAAATCACCAATTACAGACTTCCTCCCAACAGTTACACTCCTCCGGGCTCCACCGCTGTAATGGTGAGGCGTACGACGACGTCGACATCATCATCGTACCATATGGAGCATTATTAGCTTTTAAATTGATTTGAGCTGATGATAGTGGCGAATTTGTAGAAAGTACTGATTTGACTTTATCGGTTATTATGGCACCTGCCATTTCTATTTCTCTGCTCCACCTTCATCTCCCGCGTTGGCTCATCAGCCACCTTCATTTGTTGGCTCATCTGTTCTTTTTTTATTTTTATTTTTTTTATCTGTTCTTTTTTACATCTTGTGGGAGGGTGTTTAAAATTGCACTTGCACTCACCTCTTATACACAGTTCTCTAAAAGGCTTTTTTGTCTTTTCATCTTGTTTGGAGACAAAACATGTCTTTTTTGTTCACTTAATTAGGATGTCATTTTTTAATTATTTTCTAATTTGGAGTTTACAACTTTGAAGAGATTTTAATGTAGTTTTTGAATATGTAAATTTTAAATATTAAAAATTGAATGAATTATCCATAGGAAGGGTTGACTTTTATTTTTGGTTGACCAAAAAATGTTGACTTTGCAAAACAAATTGGGACGGAGGGAGTATTATGTTTGTGCAAAATTTGTTTGTGAATGGAATTCATAGACAAAAAAAGAAACTTCACAAATATAGATGAGTATAAAAGTAGGTACAAACATTACTTTTTGTTAAAATTGACTTATTCTCAAACAAATTGAACACGCGAGACAATAGCCCTAAATTCACTTATTATAATTGGCAGACATAAAATTCATTCTTATGCTTTCTCAAATAGGTTTGCTACGACAATGATTAAAAGTTTTACTAAAATAACCATTTTTTTAGAAACTACACTGAGTAGCTGGGTAAGATAACATTAATTAGTCAAAACATTTTGTTATACCAATCAGAAATAAATCAGTATTTTATTTTTATTAAAAAACAACAACTTGTTTCTTTTGAAGTCTTTTTAGTAATTAAAAGGTAATAGTTACTAAAAAACACATTTTTTTTTGCAATTAGTTGTGCTTATTAGACTTAAACAAAAGAGATCATATTAGAATATGGAGAATTCTGTCATTGGATCAAAATGTATCCATTTTCCAAAACCGGGACTTTAGTACTTTGAAATTTTACAAATATTACTTACAATTTGTGATTGGAAAATAATACCCCTATAAGGTCGTGGCATTGTTAGTTGTTACCACCAAGCTGCCACTGCCCGTAAATGTCCCACTAGTCTACGTTGTTGGTCTGCTGCCAGAATGTCGTCATTGGACTGCCCACCACCACTGAACCATGATTATGCAAGAGTGAAGAAAGTTTGGGAGGTAATTAATTATATTGATCAATTAATTAGTTAGGGTAAAATGTAATATTTAGTCATGTTCAAGTGAAATGACACATGTAGTCCTCCTATTCTTATAAAATCACCATCCTTTACTCTTATTTAGAACAATATTCTCAGTTAGAATAGATATATACACAATGTTAAAACATACATGCACAAGATGTTATTAAAATGTTCATTATATCATAATTTAATTAAATTGAACAAAACGCATCAGATCATAATTAAACAAACTAAATCAAATCCATTCACATATAAAATACCCCTGTTGGGTGCAAAAGCAACCCAAATGGTAGATTCAAGATTCTTCGTACATTCGATTTCAATTTGTTATTCAACTATAATAATAAATTAAAAATTATGTGATTAAGATTTGTGCTAGGGAAAGAGAGAAACCTTTAGAAATAAAAATGAGATCTTATTTTAATATTGATAAAAATAGACTAACTAAATGTTAATGTTGACGGACACACTTACCCCTAATTTTCAAGCATATGTCCTTCACCTTAACAAAACCATCAGTTTCAATGTCTATCCCCCTCACATCCATTTTTCAAAGCTTGGGCGGGGATGGCGAGCAGTGTGCGGCGACCACCCTATTTAACCACGGCAATGAAGATCCATGTGAATCCATCATCTCCTCTTTCTCTCTTGATCTTCCCACCATCGCTGCCACCCTTCTTCTCCTCTCTCTTGGTCTTCCAACGGTTAAGGTGAATGATGGTGGGTATCGCCCGTATCGGGTCAGGAGGTGAGGGTGGCACGTGACTTGAGATAAAAATGTGAGGTCTCGATTGTCGGGACAGTCATGACTCATGAGGCTGGTCGGGGTGGCGGGGCTGTTGGACCCGAGATTTAAAGTCATGGGGCAAAAATTCTTTTCCGCTGGTGTAGGGGTTTACCTATTTTTCATTCAAAAAATATTTCCATTTGGACATACAAAATTTAAATTTGCTACATTATAAATTAATGTAGCAAATTTCATCAAAGGAAAAATAATCTAGAAAAAACCATTGATAAACTAAAGACTAAAAAATTACAAATCAAAAGAAAACTATTCGATCATAAAAAAGATTCAATTGGAATGCACAATTTTCCCCTGAACTCTAATAAAAGTTTCAATTCACCCCCTGAACTCGATAAAAAGTTCAAATTTCACTTTTCCCAAGTAAAAGTCCGGTCACCGCCACGTCATCAGATCAGATGCATGGGAACTCTAATAAAAGCTCCAATTCACCCCCTGAACTCGATAAATAGTTCAAATTTCACTCTTTCCAAGTAACAGTCCGGTCACCGCCACACCATCCGATCAGATGCCAACCGTGCATCCCATGTGGCAATTTAAGGGGTCAAATAGACTCCTGAACCGGACTGAGTTGTTCAATTTACCCTCTCAACCGTTAAAAAGTGTTAAAATTGCAAAAAATAAAAAATAAGAAACTAAAATATAAAACATAAAAAATAAACTATGCATGTTCTTACTAAATAAAATATAAAATAAAAATACAAGTCGGAAGTATTGTAGACATCTATTAAATAATACAATAAGGAAATATTTATATTTGCGGTAAATTTATGAAAAATAAACTAAAATAAATTCTTTCAATCTATTTCGATATTTATATCTATTTAAAATAAAAAATAAACAATGCATGTTTTTACTGATTAAAATTAAATTTTTATTTCATGTATTAAGTATTATGTAATAATTTATATTGTAAAGCATATTTTAGTATTTCTATTTTACCATTTATATTATATTTATATTTAAGAGTTGTATATCTTCATTTCACATTTTTTAAATATGTTTTGATTTATATGTAAAATTACACACACATGCATATGTGTATATGTACTTCGCAATTTTTTATTCTCCAATTATATGCTATACTTCATACTACTTATATACACCATTTTTTTAAAAAAATAAAAAATGAAAGAGTGACTTTTTATATTAATATCAAGAAATCATACTAGACAACCTCCAGAAAATTATGTCAGAGCCGATCGTAAGCCCTTTGAATAGACATATAGAATCAATCACCTCATAAAACGAGCGAATTTAATGCTAAAACAATCAGAACTAAAACATTGTCTATCAAATACTGCTGAAATCAAAATATGCAAACATACTCGAAGTAAAATAAAAATAAGTACTCTTAAAGGAAAAATAAAATTGAAACAAAGTTTTTCTACAAAACTCTCTTCAAGACATTGAGGTAGTTCTCGAGGAGCACGAGCTTTGCCAATATCTACGCACCCCAAAAGAAAGCAGCTTGAAACCTCTGTCCGGATGAAGCTGGAAGGGACACCAAAATAGCTCCCCACATCGACGGAGACAAAACAACCGACAATGCCTATGAAAGAACCGCCAAAGTACAGAACAAACACAACCAGAAAAGAAGAATAGTTCACTTGGGTCATACCTCTACCAAGAATCTTTGATACCTAGAACAAAACATGAAATCCGTTATGTGCTTAGATGCATCGTCCGTGCTCTTTCAGCTTCACATGAATCTGGAGTCAGACCGCAGCGGCGCAACTGGTGGAGTGCGAGAGGTCGGACTCCACACTTCGCCTCTCCCCTGGAGTTTACTGCTGCCGGTAAATCTTTTGGTGTCTTCTAAACTATAAAAATCATATACTTTGAAATCCGAAAAACTGATTATTTTGTATTGACAGCTCCCATAATAACTTTAAAAAAATTATACTATATAAAAAGTACTCCGTATAATATATGAAAATAGTTATTACATTTTATATTATGTATTTAAAAAATAATATATTTTCCTTATTTTTTTTAATAACAGTTTTTCCATCATTTGCAATGGAGCCAAAGATTCATTATTTTTTGGCTTGAGAATATGATGGAATAAAGCAAAATGACTCACTAAACTGTCAGCGCTTCTTTGTTATGAAGCAGCAGTGAGTCCATGGAATTTTGGACGCGATTTTCACTATTGGTCATCCGGAAACAGTCTCTCTGTGCTTTAGTACAGGGGTAAGACTGCGTACATCCGACCCCCCTTACACCACCGTAGGTGGGGAGCCTTTGTGGCACTGGGGTAAATGAAAATGAAAAATGATTTTTTATAACAGTTATAATATACTCGCTCTGTCCCATAAAATTGTTCCCGCATTGAATTGGATCGGAGTTTAAGAAAGTGGAAATAAAGTGGAAATGTATGGTTGTGATTATGTAAGAAAAAAGTAAATGAATGTGAGCCACACAAAACTTTTCAAAAGGGGAAAGTGGGACAATTTTTTGGGACGACCCAAAAAGGAAACCGGGAACAATTTTTTGGGACGGAGGGAGTACTGTTTTGGTGTATCAAACCCTGCCAAAAGAAAAATGAAAAATGCCCTTATATGGTACTTCACTACTTATACTTCGTACGGAGTATTAGTTATTACATTCTTTTTATGTACTCCTTCCGTAACTTAAAAATCTTCCCACTTTCCTTTTTCGTCTGTAACACAAAAATCTTCCCATTTCTAAATCTTCCCATCATACCCTCAATAATTCTTAAAATAATACACTATTACAACTACTTTTTTTGGATTTATCCTACATTCCACCACATTATTCCACTATTTTTCCATCATACCCTCAATAATTCATATCATCTTTCACTATTCTTAATCTACCTACTTTTGAAATG